AGATTGAGAAAGTGCTTCTGAGGAATGGCTTCATTTATTCATTAATTCAACAAATTATGATTATAAATGGCTAGAAACTGAGGATAGTGTGATGTGATGTGATGAGCAAGACCAGTACAGTTCTTATCCCTACTAAAGTAATACTGCAAACACACTGTAGCAATTAAGTGTCATCAGCGCTATGATAGAAAAAGTATAGCCACTTATGGAAATGAGTAGAAAGAATGCCTAATCGAAGGGTTCTGGGAAGATGTTATTATCTTGCTTTTGATTTGGCTCTGTCCCCCTTTAATGAAATCATTGACTTTTTTACTCTGCGCCAGGCACCTAGACAGATTTCTAGGTAAAAAAAAAAATATAGAACTCACATAGGAGCACAGCTGCCTTCATTTCCACTCTAAGCTTTGGGCCAGTGATAAAGGAAGGTGGATGAGATTTGGAAATGTGTATGACAAGGAAAGCACATGTCCCTGTGTCCTTGTTACAGGCAGAGATAGATTTATACAGATAATATTTCATAGATAACATAAAAATTTTAATTAAGATCTCAGTAGGCATTTAATACAGAACTCCTAAATGAAGTTGTTGTTGTTGTTGTTTTTCATTTGCTTTGATCAGCAAATTGTTTCCTGGGGTGATAATGACAGACGGCATGGTTTGGCAGGAGGATGAGCATACACACCTCACGTTCATAGATAAAACCATGCTGGCTGATGGCTCTGAGCCACCGAGAAGTCTCTAGTCAGAGACAGGCTTGGTGGGTGGAACAGGCGAGTGGATTGCTGTGGTTAACATTGCATTTTAGTGGAGACCTTCAAGATGGCGGAGGAGTAAGACGTGGAGATTGCCTTCCTCCACACAAATATATCAGAAATATATCTAAATGTGGAACAACTCCTACAGAACACCTACTGAACACTGGCAGAGGACCTCAGACTTCCCAAAAGGCAAGAAACTCCCCACATATGTGGGTAGGGCAAAAGAAAAAAGAAAAAACAGAGACAAAAGATTAAGGATGGTACCTGCATCTCTGGGAGGGAGCTGTGAAGGAGGAAACGTTTCCACACACTAGGAAGCCCCTTCACTGGTGGAGACGGGGGTGGTGTGGGGGAAGCATCGGAGCCACGGAGGAGAGCGCAGCAACAGGGGTGCGGAGGGCAAAGCGGAGAGATTCCTGCACAGAGGATCAGTGCCGACCAACACTCACCAGCCAGAGAGGTTTGTCTGCTCATCCGCCAGGGCAGGTGGGGGATGGGAGCTGAGACTCTGGCTTCAGAGGTCAGATCCCAGGGAGAGGACTGGGGTTGCCTGCATGAACACAGCCTGCAGGGGGCTAGTGCACCACAGCTAGCTTGGAGGGAGTCTGAGAAAAAGTCTGGAACTGCCTAAGGGGCAAGAAACTATTGTTTCGGGAAGCGCAAGGAGAGGGGATTCAGAGCACTGCCTAAAACACCTCCAGAGACGGGCGCGAGCTGCGGCTAACAGCGTGGACCCCAGAAACGGGCATGAGACACTAAGGCTGCTGCTGTAGCCACCAAGAAGCCTGTGTGCAAGCACAGGTCACTATCCACACCTCCCCTCCCGAGAGCCTGTGCAGCCCGCCACTGCCAGGGTCCCGTCATCCAGGGGCAATTTCCTCAGGAGAACACACGGCGCACCTCAGGCTGTTGCAACGTCATGTCAGCCTCTGCCTCTGCAGGCTGGCCGCACATTCTGTACTCCTCCCTCCCCCTGGCCTGAATGAGCCAGAGCTCCCTAATCAGCTGCTTCTGTAACCCTGTACTGTCTGAGTGAAGAACAGACGCCAGAGGGTGACCTACACGCAGAGGCAGGCCTAAATCCACAGCTGAAACCCAGGAACTGTGCGCAAAAAGAAGAGAAAGGGAAATCTCTTCCAGCAGCCTCAGGAGCAGCAGATTAAATCTCCGCAATCAACTTGATGTACCTGCATCTGTGGAATATCTGAATAGACAATGAATCATCCCAAATTGAGGCAGTGGACTTTGGGAGCAACTTTAGACTTGGGGTTTGCTTTCTGTATCTAATTTGTTTCTGGTTTTATGTTTATCTTAATTTAGTGTTCAGAGTTTATTATAATTGGTAGATTGGTTTATTGATTTGGTTGCTCTCTTCCTTTTATATATATATATTTTTTCCTTTTTTTCTTTTTATGAGTGTGTATGTGTATGCTTCTTTGTGTGACTTTCTCTGTATAGCTTTGCTTTACCATTTGTCCTAGCGTTCTCTCTGACCTTTTTTCTTTATTACTTTTTAATTATTTTTTATTTTTAATATTTTTAATTTTAATCATTTTCTTTGATTTTATTATTTTCTTTCTTTCTTTCCTTCTTTCTTTCCTTCTTTCTTCCTTCCTCCCTTCCTTCCTTCCTTCCTTCCTTCCTTCCTTTCTTTCTTTCTTTCTTTCTTTCTTTCTTTCTTTCTTTCTTTCTTTCTTTCTTCCTTTCTTCCTTTCTTTCTTCCTTTCTTTTCTGTCTTTTTTTCTGAGCCACATGGCTGACAGGGTCTCAGTGCTTCAGCTGGGTGTCAGGCCTGTGCCTCTGAGATGGGAGAGTCAAGTTCAGTACACTGGTCCACCAGAGACCTCCTGGCTCCACATAATAACAAGTGGCAAAAGCTCTCCCAAAGACCTGCATCTCAATGCTAAGACCCAGCTCCACTCAACGACCAGCAAGCTGCAGTGCTGGACACCCGATGTCAAACAACTACCAACACAGGAACACAACCCCACCCATTAGCAGAGAGGCTGCCTAAAATCATAATAAGGTCACAGACACCCCAAAACACACCGCTGGCCGAGATTCTGGCCACCAGAAAGACAAGATCCAGCCTCATCCACCAGAACACAGGCAACAGTCCCCTCCACCAGGAAGCTTACACAACCCAGTCAACCAACCTTACCCACTGGAGGCAGACACCAAAAACAACGGGAACTGGGAAGCTGCAGCCTGCTAAAAGGAGACTCCAAACACAGTAAGTTAAGCAAAATGAGAAGACAGAGAAACACACAACAGATGAAGGAGGAAGGTAAAAACCCATCAGACCAAACAAATGAAAAATAAATAGGCAGTATACCTGAAAGTAGGCATAGAGGGAACTTACCTCAACATAATAAAGGGTGTATGTGACAAACCCACTGTTAGCATCATCCTCAATGGTGAAAATCTGAAACTGTTTCCTCTACGATCAGGAACAAGACAAGGTTTTCCATTCTCACCACTATTATTCAACATAGTTTTGGAAGTTATAGACACAGAAATCAGAGAGGAAAAAAAAATAAAAGCAATCCAAATTGGAAAACAAAAGTAAAGCTGTCACTGTTTGCAGATGATGTGATACTATACGTAGAGAATCCTAAAGATGCTACCAGAAAACTACTAGAGCTAATCAATGAATTTGGTAAAGTAGCAGGATACAAAATTAATGCACAGAAATGTCTTGCATTCCTATACACTAATGATGAAAAATCTGAAAGAGAAATCAAGGAAACACACCCATTTACCCCTGCAACAAAAAGAATAAAATACCTAGGAATAAACCCACCTAAGGAAACAAGAGTCCTGGATGCAGAAAAGTATAAGACAGTGATGAAAGAAATGAAAGATTATACAAATAGATGGAGAGATATACCATGTTCTTGGATTGGAAGAATCAATATAGTGAAATGACTATACTACCCAACACAATCTACAGATTCAATGCAATCCCTATCAAACTACCAATGGCATTTTTCACAGAACTAGAACAAAATATTTCACAATTTGTATAGAAACACAAAAGACCCCGAATAGAAAAAGCAATCTTAAGGAAGAAAAACGGAGCTCAGAGAATCAGGCTCCTGGATTTCAGACTATGCTGCAAAGCTGCAGTAATCAAGACAGTATGGTACTGGCACAAAAACAGAAATATAGACCAATGGAACAGGATAGAAAGCCCAGAGGTAAACCCACGCACCTATGGTCACCTTATTTTTGATAAAGGAGGCAAGAATATACAATGGCGAAAAGACAGCCTCTTCAGTAAGTGGTGCTGGGAAAATTGGACAGCTACATGTAAAACAATGAAATTAGAACACTCCCTAACACCATACACAAAAATAAACTCAAAATGGATTAAAGTACTAAATTCAAGGCCAGACACTATCAAACTCTTAGAGGAAAACATAGGCAGAACACTCTAGGACATAGATCACAGCAGGATCCTTTTTGACCCACCTCCTAGAGAAATGGAAATAAAAACAAAAATAAACAAATGGGACCTCATGTAACTTAAAAGCTTTTGCACAGCAAAGGAAACCATAAAAAAGACAAAAAGACAACCCTCAGAATGGGAGAAGATATTTGGAATTGAAGCAACAGACAAAGGATTAATCTCCAAAATTTACAAGCAGCTCATGCAGCTCAATATCAAAAAAACACACAACCCAATCCAAAAAGAGGCAGAAGAATTAGGAGTGGGCGGGACTTCCGGATCCTACCTGAAGGAGGTCGTTTGGCTGCTTTTGCTGCCGTCTGCAGGACCCGAGGCTCAGGATCACTCGGTGGAGCCGAGCTTAGAGAAACTGGAAAGAGACTGAGGGGCGCCATCCACACTGCCCAGGAGTGAGCAGCTTGCGGAACCCGCTTCCAGGATTTTTGGCCTAGGTCTCCGCCATTATCCTGCACGTCTCCTGGCACCACCGCGACCACAGGGTCCTATGTCAACCAACGCGGTGCAGGACCCAGCCCAGAGTCCATGGCTTTTCATTGGCTGAGTCCTTTCCAGGAAAGAAGGAGTCTTCATCCATTTGGATTCCGTTATTGTTTCAGGTTCCCATGGTAGCAGCAGCATTTATGGTCCCTGGACAGGGCCATGTGATCTTTGAGGATGTGGCTATGTCCTTTTCCCAGGAGGAGTGGGGTCTCCTTAACGATGCTCAGAGACTCCTGTACTGTGACATGATGCTGGAGAACCTGTCACTTATAGACTCCCTGGGTTGTTAGCATGGAGTAGAAGCTGAGGAGGCCGTTTCTGAACAATGTGTTTCTGTAGAACAAGTGACAGAAGACAGGAATCCAAAGCTGGAGCCAGCTATCCTGAAGCCTCTGTCTTCTGATACAAGCGTCCTGGTGGAGAAAGATGTTTTGTACTTGGCTGACAATATGTTAATGTGCAGAGAGGTTGAGAAGGCTTTCCTAGGCAGCTTAGGCTTTCCCCAGCACCAGCCCTCCCATGATGGAGAGCATCCACGTAGAAGCAGGCAGAGAAGGGAGGTCTCTCACCCTGGGCAAGAGCATCACAAGTGCAGTGAATGTGGCAAAGCCTTCAGTAAAAAGTTTAAATTCACAGAGCACCTGAGAGTTCACACTGGAGAAAAACCTTATGAGTGCAGTGACTGTGGGAAGTTCTTTAGACACAGCTCCAGTCTTATTCATCATCAGAAAGTTCACACAGGAGAAAGGCCTTATGAGTGCTGTAATTGTGAGAAAGTCTGCCCACAAATATAAACTTTTTGAGCACCAGAGAATCCACACTGGAAAAAAGACCATATGAGTGTAATGAATGTGGGAAAGCCTTCCTTCGCAAGGATTCACTTGTTCAGCACCAAAAAATCCACACTGGAGAAAATCCTCATAAATGTGGTGAATGTGGAAAGTGCTTCCTGAACAAAAATAACCTTCTTGTGCACCAGAGGGTCCACAGTGGAGAAAGGCCTTATGGGTGTAGCAAATGTGGAAAGTCCTTTGTCTTCAAAAAAAAGGCTTCTTTATCACCAGCGAATCCACACTGGAGAAAGGCCTTACATGTGCAGTGAATGTGGGAAAGCCTATGTCTACAAAGGAAGTCTTATTGTGCATAAGAGAATTTACACTTTAGAGAAGGCTTATGGGTGTAACAAATGTGGGAAATTCTTTACAAGCAGTTTTGCCCTCAATAGACATGAGAATGTTCACACTGCATGAAGGTGTTATGAGTGCAGCGAATGTGGGAAAGCTCTCAATGACAAAGCTAAACTTGCTGAGCACCAGAGAATCCATACTGGAGAAAGACCCTATAAGTGTAATGAACGTGAGAAAGCCTTCATGCGCAAGTATACACTTGTTCAGCACCAAAAAGTCCACACTGGAGTAAAGCCTTTTAAATGCAGTGAATGTGGGAAGCCCTTCACTTACAAAACAAGTCTTGTTGTCCATCAGAGAATCCACACTAGAGAAAGGCCTTATATGTGCAGTGAATGTGGGGAAGTCTTTGTCTACAGAAGAAGTCTTGTTGTCCATCAGAGAATCCACACTAGAGAAAAGCCTTATGTATGTACTTCTTTGTAGGTAGCTCCAAACTCATAAAAAACAAAGTTCACACTAGGGCAATGCCTTCTGGACTTATGCTTTCCTTCACTTGAGTTAATATCTAACAGCACAATTCCTATGTAGTAGAGTAGGTGAATGTATACCTTATATGTGGCCTGTCAAACTTTTCTAAAATGGTAGTATATTTTTATAGTCTCACGAGAAGCAGCAGAACATGAGTTCCTGTTTTTTACCAACACTTGGTATGTTCAGGCTTTCTAATTTCAGTGATGTCATAGGTGTATCTAGTGATTTTAACTAACATTTCCCTATTGACACAATGTGAGTGGTTTTCCATGTGTTAATTTCCAACCATATTTCTTTTTTTAAATTTTTATTGGTGTATAGTTAATTTACAATGTTGTGTTTCAGGTGTACAGCAAAGTGAATCAGACAGCCATATTTCCTTTTTGAAATTTCTGTTCATATAATTTTGTCATCTTAAAAAAAAAAAAAAAAACCAAAAATGGGCAGAAGACCTAAATAGACATTTCTCCAAATAAGATATACAGATTGCCAACAAACACATGAAAGAATGCTCAATGTCACTAATCATTAGAGAAATGCAAATCAAAACTGCAATGAGGTATGACCTCACACCAGTCAGAATGGCCATCGTCAAATAATCTACAAACAATAAATGCTGGAGAGGTGTGGAGAAAAGGGAACCCTCTTGCACTGTTAGTGGGAATGTAAATTGATACAGTCACTATGAAGAACAGTATGGAGGTTCCTTACAAAACTAAAAATAGAACTACCATAGAACCCAGCAATCCCACTACTGGGCATACACCCTGAGAAAACCATAATTCAAATAGAGTCATTTACCAGAATGTTCATTGCAGCTCTATTTATAATAGCCCGGAGATGGAAACAATGTATGTGTCCATCGACAGATGAATGGATAAAGATGATGTGACCCATATATACAATGGAATATTACTCAGCCATTAAAAGAAATGAAATTGAGTTATTCATAGTGAGGTGGATGGACCTAGAGTCTGTCATACAGAGTGAAGTAAGTCAGAAAGAGAAAAACAAATAACATATGCTAACACATATATATGGAATCTAAAAAAAAAAAAAAAAAGGTCATGAAGAACTTAGGGGCAAGACAGGAATAAAGACACAGACCTACTAGAGAATGGACTTGAGCATATGGGGAGGGGGAAGGGTACGCTGGGACAAAGTGAGAGAGTGGCATGGACATATATACACTACCAAACGTAAAATAGATAGCTAGTTGGAAGCAGCTGCATAGCACAGGGAGATCAGCTCTGTGCTTTGTGACCACCTAGAGGGGTGGGATAGGGAGGGTGGGAGGGAGACGCAAGAGGGAGGAGGCATGGGGATATATGTATGGTTGATTCACTTTGTTATAGCAGAAACTAACACACCATTTTAAAGCAATTATACTCCAACAAAATTTTTAAACAAACAAACAAAAAACCCAAAAATTGCGTTTTAGCACAGGCATCCAAGGGTGCCAAGAACTGACAGCATGACAGCTAGCGAGAGAGGAAGCCAAGGCAGTTAAGGGTGGCCTCCAATTCATGGTTGACAGCCAGGGATAATTTGTGGTTAACAGATCAGGAAAACTTACAGCATATACATGCATCCTCACTCTGAAAGTGCTGTGAGTGAGATTGTCTCAGCGGAGTCTGTGCCTAGCTTTTTTGTTTTTTGTTTTTTTTTTGCCTAGCTTTGGACTTTAAACACTGACTGTTTAGTGTGGCAGTATCTCTAAGTCGTCTTAAGTTACTTACCTCACTTTAAATAGTGATATATGTGATGTATAAGCTAGTTTATTCTAGACTTTAAGCCTATGTTTTGTTTTGTTTTGATTGAATTTTACTTGATTTACAATGTTCTGTCAGTTTCTGGTGTACAGCAAATTGATTTTTATATATCTATTGTTTTTCAGATTCTTTTCCATTATAGGTTATTATAAGATATTGAATATAATTCCTTGTGTTATACAGTAGGACCTTGTTGTTTAATCCCAACTCCTAATTTATCCCTCCACTCTCCCCACCCTTTGGTAACCATAAGTTTATTTTCTAAGTCTTTGAGTCTGCTTCTGTTTAGATATGAACATAGATATGTTCATTTGTGTCATATTTTAAATTCCACATATAAGTGATATCATATGATATTTGTCTTTCTCCTCCTGACTTACTTCACTTAGTGTGATAATCTCTAGATCCATCCATGTTGCTGCAGATGACATTGTTTCATTATTTTTTATGGCTTAGTAGTATTTCATTGCATACATATACCACATCTTATTTATCCATTGATCTGTCAATGAACACTTGGGTTGCTTCCATGTCTTGGCTATTGTGAAAAGTGCTGCTATGAACATTGGGTTACATGTATGTTTTTGAATTAGTTTTCTCCAGATATATGCCCAGGAGTGGGATTACTGAATCATGTGATAACTCTATTATTAATTTTTGAAGAAACCTCCATACTGTTGTCCATAGTGGTTGTACCAATTTACATTTCCTCCAACAGTGTAGGAGGGTTCCCTTTTCTTCATACCCTCTCCAGCATTTGTTATTTGCAGACTTTTTAATGATGGCCATTCTGACTGGTGTGAGGTAAACATAAGGCCTTTGAATTGCCTCTCACACTGCCTAGAACACCCTGTCCTCAGATTGTCAGCTTAAATGGCAGTTCTTCAGAAAGTCTTTCCTGAGCCCCTGTTTAAAGAAGTTAGATGCAATAGCTTTCTGTTATATTACATTGCTTTATTATCTTGTAGCATATATCACTTTTTGGAATTATCTTAAAGTTTTGTAATAGTATTTTTCTTTGTTGTAGGTATCCCCTTTCTAGTCTGGAAACTCTCTGAGAATAAGGACTTTCTCTGTCTCATTCACCAATGGATCCTCAGGGCCTGGACTAGTCCCTGGCTTTTACGTCTCTCTGCACCTTCAAGGCAAGGATCATATCTTAGACAACTTGCCAAGTCTGATGCCACAGGACAGTAAGTGATTCCCATTAATACGTAGACCTATTTAATAAATACAATTGAGCTTTGTAGATGTAACCAGTAGTGAACATTAAGTGAGCACCTTGTTGGGAAAAAGGGCCATTTTTCTCTTAATCAACTTTTAAATTAATTTAAAACCAGCTATTATTTTTCTGTATTTGTGTGTTCAGCTTGCATTTGAGCATCATTTTGTGACAGGTGCTTTGAGAAGTGAAAGAGAAGAGTACAAGTGGTCGTTGCCTTTCAAAGTCTTCTACTCTGTTCTGAAAGACGTGGGTGAAGTTCATTTTCCTTTCTAATCTTTGGAAATGGTGCCTAGCTGTGTTCTTAGATAAATAATGCCTTTTTTAAAAAAAAAAAAATGAATAAATGGATAAAAGTAAAAATCACTGAATGAATGAAAAGAGGTGAATTAAGTGATAGGAATTAGAACCAGATGCAGCCAATTATCAGAGTCTTTGAGTCAGGGTGAAGAGATTTGATTGCATGAAGTCTTTGACTCATGAAGTAGACTTAATTTATTTTTCACCCAGTACAAACCATTCACTGTTTCCTTGTGTTCATGTTACTGTTTCTTACTACCATGGGTTGTTCTTGATGTCCCTGTGGCTGAAATGCATGCTGATAATCTTTGTATGTTTAAAATCCATTCACTGAAGATAAAAGCAAACATCATCATCTCAGTGAAATAGTTTACTACCTCCCTTGCAGCAAGAAATTTCTCCACCTCTGAATTCCTAGAATTCTCTATTGACTCTCTGCCTGTCACACATAACCCTTTTCATCTTATATTGCCATTATTTATGTCTGCGTTTAATCTTCTCTTTTAGACTCAGCTCCTTGAGGGTGGGCTTATTGATGATTTATCTGAGTAGCAAACTTTTAGTAATTCATTCAAAGAGTATTTACTGAAGACATTACATGTGAGGCAGAGTGCTAGTATTGGAGAAAGAGTTGTGAGCACCTAACATCGACAAGTCAAACACTAGTATGCCTTGGATTTTAGAGTTTAATACAGAGCAGAGTATTAATGGCTTTTTATTAGTTGAGCACATCAGACAATTTGATGAGATAATTATCTTAGCATATTGTAGCTGAAGACATAGGTTTTATTTATTTATTTATTCTGGATAAATGCATTTACTTTTTTTAATTATAGTTCATGTAAAGTATTATGTAAGTTACAGGTGTGCAATATAGTGATTCAAATTTTTTAAAGGTTATACTCCATTTATAGTTATTATAAAATATTGGCCTTATTCCCTCTGTTGTACCATGTATCCTTGAGGCTTATTTCACACATAATAGTTTGTACCTCTTAATCCCCTACCTGTTATGGCTCCTCCCCCTTCCCTCTCGACACTGGTAACCACTAGATTGCTCTCTATGTCTGTGAGTCTGCTTTTTTTTGTTATTGTTTTTATATTCACTAGTTTATTATAGTTTTTACATTCCACATGTGCTATCATACAGTATTTGTCTTTCTCTGTCCCATTTATTTCACTTAGCATAATGCCCTCCAAGTCCATACATGTTACTGCAGCTGGCAATTTTTCATTATCTTTTATGGCTGAGTAGTATTCCATTGTGTATATATACCACACCGTCTTTTTTTTAACATCTTTATTGAAGTATAATTGCTTTACAATGGTGTGTTAGTTTCTGCTTTATAACAAAGTGAATCAGCTATACATATATCCCCATATCTCCTCCCTCTTGAGTCTCCCTCCCACCCTCCCTATCCCACCCCTCTAAGTGGTGACAAAGCACTGAGCTGATCTCCCTGTGCTATGCGGCTGCTTCCCACTAGCTATCTATTTTACATTTGGTAGTATATATAAGTCCATGCCAGCCTCTCACTTCGTCCCAGCTTACCTTTCCCCCTCCCTGTGTCCTGAAGTCCATTCTCTATGTCTGTGTCTTTATTCTTGTTCTGCCCCTAGGTTGTTCAGAACCATTTTCTTTTTTTCTTTTTTAGATT